GGTATTTTCCACCTGGCAGGATTGTGGTAGGAACTTAATAGGTCTAAGCTTCTGGAAGCAGCAGCCCCTGTTGAGGACTGTAAGGTAGAGGAGGTGTTCACAAGCTCTCCTATGAAGAACCCAGATATGCTCAGACACAAAATTAAAATACTTGGCTGGGCGGTGGTGGTGCATGCTTTTAATCCCAGCACTTGGGAGGCAGAGGCAGGTGAGTTTGAGGCCAGACTGGTCTACAGAGGGAGTTCCAGGACAGTCAGGACTTTTACACAGAGAAACCCTGCCTCGAACTCGCCCCCTGCCCCAAGAAAAATTGAGACAGGGTCTCACTATGTAGCTTTGCCTGATCTGGAATTCCCTATGTAGAACAGGCTGGCCTAGAACTCAAGAGACCCATCTCCCTCTGTCTCCCTAAAATTAAAAGTATGCACTACCATGCCCAGCAATAAATGATCATTTTAAAGTTCATTTTAAAGTTCCACGTTCAGAAGCGGACCTAGAGTATTGCAAAGTGAACTTTTCCGATCCAGTGCTTAGGAAAGGATGAATAACAAAGAGATGGGAATCCCCATGGATACATGGGACAAGAGAACAGCCAGGAAGCTAAGGGATGAAAAAAGCTGGGCCGGGGACTCTAGCTGCTCAAGACACTGAGGCAGAGGGAGACTAAGCTCCACTTCTGCCTACACTGAAGAAGATTAGAGGGAGGGAAAAGGTAAGGTCAGAGGGGGACAGAAAGAAGGAAGAGGAAGAAGGAAGAAGGAAGAGGAAGAAGGAAAAAGAAAGAAGAAAAAGAAGGAAGAAAGGAAGAAAAGGAGGAAAAAGGAGGAGGAAAAATAAGAGGAAGAAGGAGGAGGAGGAAGAAAAGAAGAAGGAAGAAGAAGGAGGAAGGAGAAAGAAGGAGAAGGAGGAAGAAGAAGAAGAGGAAGGAGGAGGACAAGAAGGAAGAAGAGGAAGGAGGAGGAGGAAGAAGAGAAGGAGGAAGAAGTGGTTCCCAGTGGAGTCAGGTGATGAAGGCAGCAGTGAACAGGGCTTAGCGAATCTCTGTGCACTTTGGTTCAGGCCTACTTTTGCAAGGGTTTTAAGCAAGCTCCATTCTATACTCCAGGCTGGGTTAGAACTCTTGGCAATCCTCTTGCCTCGCTCCCCTACACGTAGACATGAACCATCATGCTCAGTTTCTTGATCATTTTGTGTCCCCACAGCCCCAGATAAGGAATACCAAATGGAAAGAACAGCAAGAAAAGTAGCAACCAAAAGAACATTACCGGCCACAGGGCCACCCCACCTTGGCTCCTACAGCACACATACACACACACACAACCTCCATATTCAAGATGCTCACCATGGGCTTGTCGTAAAAGGGGAACCCCTGCATGGAACGCAGGGCATTAGTGGCGCTGCTGACCTCCTTGAAGATGACAAAGGCCTGGCCCCTCATCTTCAGGCTCCGAGACACCAGAATATCCAGGATCTGGCCAAACTGGGAGAAGATGGCATACAGGGACTTCTTGAGCTCTGCATTCATGGAAGACAAGACACACTGTGACAAAAGGCCTGGCACTGTGTCCTGGGATTTGCACTATCCTTAGAGGATGGACAGCCCAAACAAGGGGCCACCTGCCACTGACAGAATACTCAGAATACCACAGCTCAAGAACCCACAACAGCCAGGTAGTGTGGTGGCACAGGCCTTTAAACCAGATAGAACCCTGTGAGTTCAAGGCCAGCCTGGTCTACAGAACAAATTCCAGGACTGTTAGAGCTACACAGAGAAACTCTGTCTTGAAAAAGCCAAAAAATAAGGTAAAAAAAAAAAACCACCCCAACCAATCCACAATGGAAGCAGCCAAGGACCACTCAAGTGGAACTCATGTTTACATAACCTTACAAGACGTGGACAGCTCTGTTTTGCTACAGTATGAAACAGTTTGGTGAGGTTGGTGGTGCCGGCTTCAGATGGGAATTGAATTGTGGTCCTGGCTTGGCCAAGTCCTTCTCAGACTCCTCAGGATACCTGCTCTAGGCTAGGGGACATTTATTTATGTTGTGTGTGGTGAGGAGACAATGAGAGGATGACTCTGGGGAGCCAACTCTCCTCCCACCACTGAGTCCCCAGGAACTGAGTCTCCTGCCTCAGCCTTCAAACGCCCAGAACTCCTTTTCCGCAATGACTACCCCAACTTGGGTAACCTGAACTCAGACCCAGCAAGCTCACATGGCACACACATGGAAGTCAGAGGGCACTTGCCTCCTAGCGTGGGACCTAGAAACGTCAGGCTAAGCACCAAGCATGCTTACCAGCCGAACTATCTTTCAGAATACTATTTCCAAAAAATTATATGCAAAAGGGGGCCAGTGTAGTGGTGGTAGAGCCTCCGCTTCACAAGCCTCATGATCAAGTGTGACCCCACGAACCACAGAGATAAGAGAATAGCCTCCCTAGAGCTGTCCTGATCAAATACGTGTATCAACATTCATAAAGTTTGCCTGTGTGAGGGTGCTGCATCCCCTGGAAGAGGAGTTAGACAGATGTGAGCTGCCATGTGGTACCTTTTTAAAAACTTTATTTATTAAAATTTTTTATGTATATTAGTGTTTTGCCTGTATGTATGTCTGTGTGAGGGTGTCCTAACCCTTGGAACAGGAGTTAAGACAGTTATGAACTGCCATGTGGGTACTGGGAATTGAACCCAGGTCCTCTGGAAGAACAGCTAGTTCTTCTTAACCACTGAGCCATCCCTCCAGGACAAGTAGGTTTCTTAGCTGCTGAGGTTCAAACCCAGAGCCTTACTCATCCTTACTCATCCCAGGCAAGACCACCACTATTTGCATTCCTCAATCCTTTTGGAGACAAGGTTTTGTATGTATCCTAGGCAGGTCTGGAACTCAAGATCCTCCTACCTCAGTCTCCTGAGGACCGGGATTACCAGCCTGTACCATCACACCCAAAGAGACTGTCTTTGGTCTCTTTTTTTTTCCCACTTGTGCTGATCAGGTAGTTCAAACTGGCTTCACTTCTGCTCTCCCTGAGTAACTGAACTACAGCCTTCTGCCATCCAGTTCAGTCCAAGAACTCGCATAACCAGAGTCCAACACTTATATCACAACCATTTTCCTTGCTATTTGATCTCAGGCAAGTCATGCCACCCAAGCTCCAATTTCTTAATCCAAGAGGCTTGTGAGAATTAAATATATCCCAGAATATAGACTCCTGTACACAATCCCCATGTTACACAGGGTTACGTATGTATCTCATCACTTCTGAATGTTATTTGCATTATAGTCAAACACTAAGACCAATGTCCAGGAGGCCCATGGACAGAGACAGTCTCATGATGTAGGAGCCAGCCATGATAAGCGAAATATGAACAGATCACCCAAAGGAAGTTCTTTACTTCCAACCATTATCACCTGCCAGAGTAGAACTCAGCCCTCACAAGTTTAATGGAGTAGTCTCAGTAGTTTACCCTGAAGCAATACCTGGTTGCAGAAAGGACCATAAATTAAGATTACCTGAGCACCACCCAAGAATAGACCATCCAAAGGAAATGCCTAACGTTCCAATCGCTGTAGATAGGATCACCTGCCAGCACACACTCACCAGGACACCCCTAGACAAATGTCAGCCAATCAAGGGTCCTGAACCTCAGAAACCCCTCACCCCCACCTTTACTACTATAAAATCACAACTCTAACTGAGCTCGGGGCTCTCCGTTCATTCCAATACGTTGGACATGCGGAGAGACCGAGTTTGCAAGCTTGCTTTTACATACGGGACTCAGTCTCCTTGTGGGCTTTTGAGGGACTTCGCGGATTTGGGCATAACAATGATAGCAGACTGAGCTGGGCTTGATGAAGAGAAAAGTTCCAAAAGGCTTCACAAAAAGAAGGAGCTGGTGAGCTAAAACCTTGAGGATTATCAACAATGCGCACAGGTTAAAGAGCAGAATGCAAAATGATTAAGCGCGTGTTGAAAACCAAGGGCTCGGTATATACAAAGGCCAAAGTTAACTCTTAACAGACTGAATGAAGAAGGCTGATAAAAAGCGGGTGCTAGAGGTAGAAGGGGTCAGCTCATATGAGATCACCCAGAGTCCAGAATATCCCGAGAACTTACCATCCTTCTTGATCTTCTCATTGAGATTGTTGATATAAATAGTGTGGTTGAGACGGGTCTCAGGAACTGCCATGGTGTGAGATGCTCACGGCTTAAAGGGAGAAAAAGAGGCGACTTCAGCCCTACGTTTCCCAAAATTCTTGGTTCTAAATACCTGATGGGCTCTGATCAGAGTTCTGGGATCCTTCCAAGAGTAAACTGGGTAAGCTCGGAATGGGGGTGGGGGGAGAATAAGGGCACAGCTTGGCAAAAGCCAGCGTAGGAGTCCGCTTCTCCAGCCCGCGTGCTAGGGGGAATCTAGAAGGTAACTACGAATCCCAGAATACCCTACGAGTCCCGGCAGGCGGAGCGTACCAAGCGGCGATTCCAATTAGTCCACGCGTGCGAACGGCGCCCCGGGAGGAAAAAAGAACCCGGATGTCGGAGCCAGTTAAGAAAGTAGGGACCGATTTTAGACATCCTAGTCTCTCAAAGAGAGGACTCCCGAAATAACGCGGCTGTAGGCCCGACGCCAAGTGCTCCACCCGCCTCCCCAACGCCAAGCGGCGTCTGCACCAGCGAGAATTCGCCACCTGAGCCGCCGCGCCTGCCACGCTCCCCTGCTCAGGTACACGGCTTCCTGTCCTGGCTCCGGCTTCCCTCTCCGCGAGATACTCGCCACGCGCAAACTCGGTAGATTTTGACTGTTCGGGTAAGTCCCGGGCCTCAGCGCCTGCCAATGAAAGGAACACTTGGGTTCCCGCCTTAATGATAATCCCCGCCCCCTTCCCCGTAGTGACCAGACCAATCGAAGAAAGCTACGAGCTTTTGGCCAATCGGGACATTACTAGGAACGGCCTTTCGGAAGCCACACCTCTTCCCCTTCCGCCAGTGGCCTTGGACCACGTGATCAGCCGCGTGGGCTTAGAAAGGACGGTGTAGTCTGGCAGGGTCAACACTGTTTGCTCCCGGCGGGAAGCCAGTATAAGTTCCTAAGTTCCTTTCCGTAGTCGACCCTTTATCGCTGAGCTGCTGCTACTCTCTTACTTCCCGAGTGATTCCAGGACCCTGCCACCACTAGGCTGTTTTCTCAGCCACGTGATCTCTTGACCTCTAACTCCTACGGGCAACCTTAACGTTCCAAATTCGAGCCAGGGATGTGAGATGAGGCAAGTCACCCCAACCTCATCCCAGATCTGAGCATCCTTATTATGGAAGTGACCAAAACTAGCTAGCTCCAGTGGATGAGTTGACAGAGACATCTTAAATTCCCTCCTAATGTAAGTCCCATCCCCATAGCACAGACCACCCTTGTGGAGCCTTCATCTGACTTAGCCCAGTTTCTTTTTCCACCATTTCAAATACTAACTCAGGTTCTCCCAGACCGACTGAATTAGGCACCATATTCTGCAATTCAACTCTAATTTTTAATTTTTTAAAACAGATTTCTATGTGCGGACCTGAACGCCACATCCAGTTGCTCTAAAAACTGAAACTCCATCCTTGAGAAATTTGGGAGGATTCTTTCTCGTTCTCACATCGGCTCGTCCTGAAGACCCCACATGACTTCTCCATGCTCTTTCCCCCTAAAACCCACAATCCCCCCAGTAATCCAAGACCCCAATATTCCACCTCCTTTACCCCCAGATCCTCTGGACTTAGCTTTGCCATCCCCTCCCTGTAGTCCCCAGGCTTCAGTTCCACCCCCACCCCCACTGCCACCTCCACCCTCTACTGTGGAGGCTGTTCCCCCTCATGTCTACGGCCTGGAGAAGAGCCGGCTGCTGAAGGAGGCCTTGGAGAAGGCTGGCCCAGTCCCCAAAGGCAGAGAAGATGTGAAGAGGCTCCTGAAGCTGCACAAAGACCGGTAGGGTCTCCAAACCCCTAACACCACCCCCTCTCATCCAGCCCCGTCTCCAAATCACTTCAGCCACTCCTTCTCGGGGTTTCCCATTTTCTTGATCTCAAACAGCCCTATCCCTTAAGTCCCCTACCTAGCTCTTCAGTGATTGGCCTCCAGCATCAGAGAAAGCAACTCCTGCACATGCTTCTGTCCCTCCACATAGTGGCTCCCAGAGCAGCCAGGGTTGTAATAACTGGGTCCAAAGGAAGTGTGTAACTCAGTGGTGGCTTCTGAAAGACAGGCAGCTACAAATGCTAGTGAGCAAGTTATGGAGGCCTACCTATCCCGTGAGAGCAGACAGCATAGGCACAGGTCTGTAATAAAAACATGCGTGTTCTCAAAGAACAGAAGAGCTGGGCAAGTAGGCAAGCAGCAGTGTGGCTGGCTGGATGGGTCTTTGATGAGTCAGGAAAAGGCGTTGCTCAGAAAAGAACTACCGTTAAGAGGACTAGAGGTCATGAATTGAGTCCAAAGTCCCAGGAAGAAAGTGATGCATCCCAGGACACAGGCAGTAAGGGAAGAGGATAAAGAAGACACCACAGGCCCCTCTCCAAATTGATAAACTCCCCCAGTGCCTGACATAGGGGCACGTGCCTATAATCCCAGCGTTCAGGAAGCTGAGCAGGAGATGAGTTCCAGGACAGACTGAGCTACATAGTGAGACCTTGTGTTGGGAGGGAGGGAGGGGGGGAGGGGGGAGGGAGGGAGTGAAGAAAAGGGAATTCTTAAACTCCCAACCATACTTACAAGGCACACCAAGTGCCCAACCACCATTATGCAAATTGGATGCAGACAGTCTATCACATTATTAAGTATTTTCTTCTTAAGACGAACCTCTCCACCGATGCAAATAATCCCAATCAGACCAAATCAAACCAAATTAAGAGGTGCCCATGTTTAATGGAGTGCTCCCGGGTGGCCCTGGAAAACATGGAGAGGGGAAGAGAGAGAAGGGGGAGACCACTTGTTCGTTCTTTGGGGGGCAGTTTAAAGAGTCTTGACCTTCCTTGGGGAGGGAAAGCTTTGGCGGACTTTCTTGGCCCTCCCTGGGGAGGGGCTTTCTCAGAGGTGGAGTTTGGACCAAGGCAACTCCCAGGAGAGGGAATTTATGCCAGGATCTGGAGTGAAGCCCCCAGCCAAACAATCCGAACTTTTTATATAAAGGAAGGGTGTTAGGGAATTGAGGTGATGATTTGACCAAACGCACATAGGTAATCAATGTCAGATTAAAAGGATTTCTTAAATTGGGCGGTGGTAATATATGCCTTTAATCCCAGCACTCAGGAGGCAGAGGCAGGTAGATCTCAGTGAGTTCAAGGCCAGCCTGGTCTACAAAGTGAGTTCATACAGCCAGAACTAAACAGTGAAACCCTATCTCAAAAACAAAACAAAAAGAAACAAAAACAACAACAAAGGATATCTTTACTTTGTTCATTGGGCTCTTACTAGTTGGGTTTGGGGGGTTTGTGTGTGTTTTAGATAGGGTCCCATGTAGCCCAGGCTGACCTCAAAGTCTATCTAGCTGAGAACACCTATTCCTTCTTCCTCCACTTCAAGAGATGACAGGTGTATATTACCTTCACCAGCTATTTGGTGCTGGTGGTGGTTTGAAACAAGATCTCTCTGTGTAACCTTGGCTGTCCTGGAACACAGTAAGTTGATTGGGCTGGCCTTGAACTCACAGAGATCCACCCGTCTTCCCCTCCAAAGCGTGATTAAAGATGTCTGCTATCTGCTACAGTACTGGTCTTTTGTGTTTGTTTGTTTGTTTGTTTTTGACCCAGTGTCACGCTGTAGCTCAAACTGACAGACGTCTGTGTTGTCCGCCTAGGCTGGCCTGAAACTCAATGGCAGTCCTGCCTCTGCTCTCAAAGGCTATTATTACATGGATCCCCATGGCTGCCTGAGTTCTTAAAGAACCTCATGAAATAGAAACTGTGTCTTTCCTGTTTTCTGGATGAGAAAGCCAAGACTCTCAATTGGCTGGAGAGATGACTCAGTGCTCTTGCAGAGGATCTCAGTTCCCAGCACCCACATGGTGTGACATAACCATAACTCTAGATCTAGAGGACCCAGCACCTCTCCTGGATCCCGTGGGTATCACACAAAGAAAATGTAAAATGAAAGAAACCTGAAGCTCTTAGGGGCAGTCACAGCCACAGAGCAAAGAAGGAGAGAGATCTCCATTTGATTTCAGTAGGGGACTTGGTGCCTCTAACCACCCTGCTGTGGTCAGGAGTTACCTCAAACTAAGAACCTGAAGCTTTGTGTATTTATCATGGGTGTGAGCATCCCCGTCACCACCCCTGGCTTTGCCCTCCTGCTGGCCCTGGGCCTCGAGGGACTGAGATCCCTGAAATCATGCAGCTGCCTCAGGACAGGGCTGGTCAGTCCTGCTCAGCTTCATCTGAGGTGCTCTCTTGGGCCTTAAGCATATTGTCACCTGGTTTTATGCAAGACTGAATTAATCTATTTGTTTGTTGTGTGGTATATGTGTGCTACATTGTTGGTGTGTATGAGGTCAGAAAACACTTCATGAGTCACTCTCCTTCTAACATGTGGGGCCTGGGACTTGAACTCAAGTTGTCAGGGTTAGCAGCAGGTGCCTTTATCTGCTGAGCCCTCACAACAGCCTCCCATCTGTCCCCTACACACACACCTCAGACCTGGTAGGGAGACTAATCAGACACTGGTTATAGTAGCACACCTTTAATCCCAGCATTGAGGAAACTAAGGCAGGAACATTGCCATTGGTTGGAGGCTAGCCTGGGATACATTTGAAGATAATGTCTACAAAAAAAGAAAAAAAAAATCTTAGCATTTGGGTACAAAACATACCACCTTCTAAAATTTTTCTCAGAGAAATCTTTGTGACTCATGGTTATATAGGTTCTGCATCTGCTCTTTGCCTTTCAAGCCCTATGAGAAGCAGCAGGGAAAAAGCAAAATTATGATTCCCAGATGAGAAAACTGAGGCTTTCGGAGTCTCACTGCCTCAGCAGGGGAGTAGCCCTGAGGCCTTAGTCCGTCTCCAGGGTATCTGAGAGCCTTTCTCTGTGACTTATTATTCTGCTTCAGGTTTCGAAATGACTTGCAATGGATCCTCTTTTGTGCCAACCTACCATCGCTCATCCAAGAAGGCCCTCAGTGAGTATCTATTGCTATGATGTGAAAGGTCCTGCCAGTTTTCTGAGGCTAGACTGACCCTGTGGGACGAGTACTCCGCCCCGGGCATCCTGGGGAGGAGGGAGAGAAAGCAGGGCCTTTTCCTCATCATGATCCTTGTGTGTGTGTGTGTCCCCGTCCGTCTGTCCGTGCACATGTGAGTGATACAGAAGGACCATCTAAATGAGTAGCTGAATGAACCCCAGTGAGTGCACAGATGAAGTGGCCCATCCCCTTAAACCCAAGTTTGTCCCCCACCTTCCAGCCTATTACCTCACCTGGCGTGGGAGGGGAGACAGGTCCCCTAGACAGCACACCCCTCCCTCCTCTGAGGTCAGGGGAGTTCAGTAAAGACACAGCATGTGCTAGAGTGGGCTGTCTCTCCCAGGTGTGGACTGGTGGCCTTGTGGATGGCAGGCACTCTTCTGTCAACCCCAGACACTGACAGTGTCTCTCTGGAAAGACTGGTGCAGGTAGCCATGGAGAGAGGCTACACAGCACAGGGAGAGATGTTCTCTGGTAAGTTGACTGGGAAATACCTCAAACCCTAAGTTCCACTGGCTCCTCTCTCTAGGCCAGCTGAGACACTGAAGGTGCATGAGGAGGTCTCATTCCCTTCTGGCCTACCCCTTGCAGTAGTAGGCCAAAGGTGGTACCAGAAGTCAAACTATTTTTATGGCAAAGTGGTTAAACAACTGACCCTTTGTGCCTCACTTGGTTTTTTGGTTTTGTTTTTTGTAGTACTGGGAATTGAACATAGGGATATAAGGCAGGTACTCTACCACTGACCCACGCCCCCAGCCCCTCACTGGAAGATTCTAGGTAGGGACTCTACCACTGAGCCACATCCCAGCCCCTCACTAGGGATTCTAGGCAGGGGCTCTACTACTGAGCCACATCCCAGCCCCTCACTGGGGGATTCTAGGCAGGGGCTCTACCACTGAGCTCTATTTCCAGCCATTTTTTTTTCTTTTGATACATAGGCTCACTAAATTGCTCAGCTTGGTCTTGAACTCACTGGGTAGCCCAGGCAGGGTTTGAACATCTGATCCTCCTAACTCAGCCTCTGAAATAGCTGGGATTATAGGTCCATGCCATCAGACCCAACTTGTGCCTCATTTTCTGAATTTACACAAATGATAAGCCCTTTTGAAATGATTCTCATTCATTCATTCATTTATTTAATCTACACTTTCTCCCGCTCTATTTCCCTCTCTCTCTCTCCCTCTGTTCCCCTCCCCCCTTTTCTGCAGTGGCTGATATGGCCAAACTGGCCCAGGAGACCTTGGACTGCCAGACTGAGCTCCTCTGTGGTGGCCTGGGTGGTCCCAACAGAGATCGGGTCCTGCAGCACCTCATTTCTGGACATCCCTTGCTCATCCCGCATCCTAGGACCTGGGAGGGAGCAGGGCAGGGGTGGTGAAGGGTAGGATCGAAGGCCACACCACAGTTTGGACCTTAACACCAGCTCCAGCTATGATGAGGATTTCAACCATGAGCCATGCCAAAAGAAAGGCCATAAAGCCCACTGGGCAGTGAGTGCAGGTGGGTCTTTGCCTGTGTATGCCGCTCCCTAGACCTCTTCACCTACTAGTAACCTCTGTTCATATTGTATCACCACTGAAGGTGCCTGCCATGCACTGCGGGTGTGAACAAGAGCTTGGCCACCCTCTTTCCCATGCAGTACTTAGCAAATAGCCCAGTAGGTATGAGGCCCCTCAAGTGTCTCCCAATTAGAGTTCACTTGAACAGGCCCAGAGCACAGACTAGGGGGTAAGGGGCTTGAAGTGCAGCCTAGGCTCTTTAGGCTCCGTGGTTCTGCCTAAGTTTCTTCACCTCTCCAGGGCTATTGCCCACCTGGAAATTGAGGGGGTTGGGGAGGAGCACTAGGTTTCCTCACAGAAGCACTTTAAGAGGTTTCTGTGGCTCATGGTTCAGGGGATGCTTCATGGAAAGAAGGCAGAGCTGATGGCTCTGCTGGTGACGGAGGAGCCAGGAACAAGTACAGCTTGTTCCTGCTTGACCAGGAAGCAGAGCTCCACCCAGAAATGGAAGTTGGACTATAACCCTGCACTTGCAATTCAGCCCCACCCCACTGACCCACTTCTTCCAGTAAGGTCCCACCTGCTGAAGGGTCCCCCAGCTCCCAAAATAACACCGTAAACGGGATGGTGCACATCCACCAAACAGCAATAGAGGCAGCACAGCCGCCCTCCTCTTCAGACTGTGCGGGCATGTGACTCCTAGAACACGGCTGACACCGCATGTCTGTCACCAGCACTACCCTTAGCATCCTGCCTGGCCTCTAGAAGTGTGTCTGGCTCTGTGTGGGGGTCTTTCTGGGGCAACTGGAAATGCTGGGGGTCTTTGTTTCAATGCTGTCCCCACCTTCAATGTGCTACAAGAGTCCCTGCTATGTACCCACAGTCCTAACCTTGTGGAAATAAGGCAGCACCTGGCCTGGAGGGTCACAGGGGATGCAGGAGCCCTGGCACCTAACTGTAACCCAGGCAACTCACATCCTCTTCTTGTCCCCCAGGGGTCCTGATAGGTGTGCAGAGTATACCGATACTTGGCTACATGGAAGACTCTGAGTTGCCAGGCCTCTTCCACCCAGTGCCTGGCATACCTCACCAATCACCATCCCTCCCAGATGAGAGCTCCCCTGGTGCCATCTTCCTTCTCTCCAAGCAGGGCAAGAGTTGGCATTACCAGCTGTGGGACTACAACCAAGTTCGGGATAGCAACCTGCAGCTGACAGACTTCTCCCCTGCCAGGGCTGCCGATGGACGGGTGTACGTGGTACCTGCTGGTGGGGTACAGGCTGGCCTCTGTGGCCAGGTCCTGCTGCTTAGACCACAGGAGTGGAGCCATTAGCTGGGGCTGGGGCATCTGCCTTAAATTTTCCTCCATCACCATTAGAGTGCCTCAACTTCCAACCTGTATCTTGAGTCTTGAGGGCCTTCTGCTAGAAATCTCTCACACAGTCACCCCATCTATGGTGCCACAAGCTTGACCACTGTCCAAAGTCTGAATTCATCACTTGCAGGATTAGGTATGCCTTTGGTTAAGGGAGACTTTTTTTTTTTTTCGAGAAAGGGTTTCTCTGTGTATCTCTAACTGTTAGGGAACTCTTTGAAGGCCAGAACTCACAGGTACCCACCTACCTCTGCCTCCCTGAGTGTTGGGATTGAAGGCATGTGCCACCACCGCCCAGCTTCTTTTTTTTTGTTTATTTTTTAAAGCATGATCTCTGCGTGGGGTGGTGGCACCTACTTCTAAACCCAGCACTCAGGAGGTAGAGGACTGGTTCTCAGCCTGTGGATCATGACCCCTTTGGGGATCAATACCCTTTCACAGGGTTGCCTAAGACCATTGGAAAACACAAGTATTTACATTATGATTCATGACAGTAGCAACAAAAATAATTTCATGGTTGGGGGTCACCGACCATGAGGAACTGTATTAAAGAATCACAACATTAGGAAAGTTGACAACCACTGAGGTAGGGACCATCCTGGTTTACATAGCAAACTCCAAGCAGCCAGAGCTACATAGTGAGACCCTGTCTCAGAAAGCAAAAACAACAAAAAGGTCTCACTATGTAGCCCTTGAAGACCTAGAACTCCCTATGTAGTAGACCAGGCTGGCCTGAACCTCAGAGATCTGCCTGGCTTTGCTTCCTGCATGCTGGGATTAAAGGCATGTTCCCCCATGCCTAGAGGAATAGTAACTAGGATATGCTTAGGATAGTAACTCAAATCCTAGCCGTGGTCCTCCCACTTGAATGGTCTCTCTCTGGGGACATCTTTTTTGTTTTTCAGAATGGTTTCACTGTGTAGCCCTGGCTATCCTGGAACTCACTATGTAGACCAGGCTGGCCTCAAACTAACAGAAATCCACTTGCCTCTGCCTCCTGAGTGCTGGGATAAAGGTATGCACCACCACCACCTGACCCTTTGAGGGCATCTTTTAAGACACTCAGTTCGAGCCTGGACCCTGTTAACCTGACCCCTATCTCCAGGTTTGCTCACAGAACAGAAATTAACCCAACCCCCTTCTCCTTGGCTTACTCAGACTATTGCTCACCTGCTTGACAGCCATGGTGGCCTTTTAGATACCAAAACTGTAGGCGCCAGCACCAGCCCTGAGCTGGTAAGATGGCTAATGGGCAAAGGTGCTTGCCAAGCCTGATGACCCAGGGACCCATGTAGTAGGAGTGATTTCCACAGGTTGTTCCCTCACCTCCACTTGACTGCTGTGCACTCAACACAAATTCAAATAGAATAAAAGTTTTTAAAAGCTTACTTCCCCTAACTTTTCCTTCTTGGATCCAATATAATTTCCTCTTCAGAGTCCCCAGGACCCCTCTCCTTCCATGTGAGGATAAGAGAGAAATATGTGGATTTTTGTGTTTGTTAAAGATTTATTTATTATGGATAGTGTTATCCATAGTGTATTGTATTATTTATTTAGTTATTATGGATAGTGTTGTACATAGTGCCTGCGTGTATGTCTGCAGACCAGAAGAGGGCACCGGATCTCATTATAGATGGGTTTTGAGCCATGTGGTTGCTGGGAATTGAACTCGGGACCTCTGGAAGAGCAGCCAAGGCTCTTAATCTCTGAGCCATTTCTCTGGCCTGTTTGTTTTGAAAGACAGGTCTTATTATGTTATGCAGTCCAGGTTAGCCTTGCATATGCCACATCCTGCCGAAGGCTGGGATAGTGGTATAGGCCTATAATCCCAGCATTTGGAAGGTAGAGGCCAGAGAATCAATTCAGGCTCATCATTGCTACGTGACAAGTTCAGGGCTAGCTTGAACTGTAACTTTTAAATCACATAGAAAGCAGCTGTGTGTGCCTCCTACTTTATCTGTCCTAACGAACCAACTATAAAGAAAGTAATCGGCACCCGGTATGCCCACTCAGAAGGGGAGGAACAAGTCTGGGTTGCTGTGATGTTCCCAGCAAAATATCACACTTTAGGTGAGGCGTATGGTACAATATGTAGTCACCAGTGAGTGGGGTGTGCAGCAGTCTGAATCCTGACCCTGATATTTGGTTGGCACTGGGAGCCCTGTATCTAGCATAAAACCAGGCCCAGGAGACTAGCAGTACAGGCTAGGCATGGTGGCACACACCATCTCAGTACTTGAGGCTGAGTTAGGCGGGTCAAGGTGAGTTTGAAGCAAGCCTGGGCTACATTGTGAGTACCAAACAGTTTTGGGCTACAGAGCAAGACCCTGTCTCAAAACAACAAAAAATAAAAGAAGCTGGGTGTGGAGGCCCATGCCTGTAATTCCAGCAGTCTGGGGGCCAAATGGGAGGACCTCACGTTCCAGACCAACCTGAGCTACAGTGAGACCCTGTCTCAAAATTAGGAGAAAGGGGCAGGAAAGATGGCTCAGCAATTAAGACTACTTGCTGCTCTCACAGAGGACCCAAGTTTGGATCCCAGAACCCACCTCAGACAGCTCCAAACCACCTGTAGCTCCAACTCCTGGGGGCAGGGGGTCCAGTGCCCTTTTCTGGCCTCCTTAGGCGCCTGAACACAAATAGTTAACATACACACACATACAAATACCAATATTTTTTTCCTTATTTGTGTGTGTGTTTTCAAGACAGGGTTTCTCTGTGTAGCCCTGGCTGTCCTGGAATTTACTCTGTAGACCAATGAGGCTGGCCTCGAACTCAGAGATCCACCTGTCTCTGCCTCCTGAATGCTGTGATGAATGTACACACTACCACTGCCCGGAGATAAATCCTTTTTAAAAAATCTAAACAAACAAAAAAGGCATTTTTGGGTCTTAAATGAATGAGGGACCTCCTCAGCCTTCCTCTCCCAAGGTGACCACTACCCCATTATCCCACCCCAGCATGAAGACCCAAGAGTATGAATTTGAGCCCACATACCCAGATGCCAAGAAAATATCCACAGTATTGACTTTGTCCTGTTTATTGAGGTGCCATTGTGGGCGGGAGGCCCAATAAAGTCATTTCGCCTGGATTCATTGACACCACCCCAGCTAACTATCTCGTTTATAAATATATATAAAGTCAGTCAGTAGAAAAGGAAGACATGTTGGCCCTGGAAGACGTTAGGGCTTAGGGAAGAGGTAGGTTCCTGTCCTCACCAAGCCCATCTGTGTGGGCCAGGAAGCCAAGGTTCTGGAGAGGTGCTGCAGCACAGAGACAGAGTGGATTCTGCCCCATTCCAGAGTTCTACAGTCTTTGGTTAGAACCAGGTAGCCCATGGTGAGGGCCAGAAGCCCCACTCACTTGTGCTTCTGGGCAACCTGGCAGTTCATTCTGTGTATGGGTAGGGACATTTACACAGTGAAGCTAGGCAGCTCTAGTTCCCAAGGAGAAACCTCCTCCCCTGCCTCACTGGAGAGCCCCGGGGTCTAGGGCAGAAGGAAGATGGTCACAGTGCTGGCACAGGTGGCTCTGCAGCAGCCTGAAGAGCCCACAGAGGAACAAGCACAGAGGAGGATAAGCTGTGTTCCCACACTGTAGCATCAGGCCTAGGGCAGCATCAGCAGGTGTCCCTCTTGTCACACCCTCCTCTCAGCACTTGAATGACCTCCAGATGAGGCTGTCACTGCCCTAGGTGGAAGTAGCTCCTGCAGGTCTTCACAAATATGCCCGATCCTCTGGGGAACAGACGCTAACTTGCTGAGGCTCTGTGCTCAGAAAGCCAGCTCAGGGTTCACGGTTCTAGCTGTGGCCCCTGGTACTCCCCTGGAAGCTTCCTAGCTTATCAGGATACCCCATTCATGTTCTGCTAACTCTATAACTCTACCTGTCTTGTTCCCCATTTGTAAGGGAGCCTAGTGTTTCCAGGTCCCCCAAAGCTCCTGAGACCACACTGATCTGGTGACACCTTGAAATACTTCATCTTCCATCAGCAGCCTCAGGCCCGACATCTTAGAGCTCCTCCAGCCAGACACATGCTATCTTGCAAGTGAGCCTAGCAGCAGCTGATGAGATCAGCTCTGGGCCAGCCCCTGAAGGAGGTGGATTAAATTGTCCAAACCCCAGAGGTAGCCATCCTCACGGTTGCCCTCGGCCCAGGGCAGCCTGTGACTGAGCGTTTGGTGGTCAGGCAGGGTCACTGTCTTGCCGAAGTCAATCATCCAGACCTTGGCCAGGCCGGTGTGGTCGTGCACAAAGAGAAGGGAGCTGCCCACCACCTGTAACAGTCAGTGAGAGAGAAGTAGTTAGAGGAGCAGGCACTACCAGTCTATTCCCCAATGAGCAGTAAAGCAGACACTCAGGAATCAGGTCGCCCACGTTCAAATCCTGACTTTGCTACTTCTAGGATGTGCAGCCTTAGGCAAGCATTTTACCCTCTTCTGGGGCTCTGCTTCCACAGATACAAACAGAGAATAACAGTATAATTTACATACACAAGGCATTTCAAATAGTTCCTAGAACACAACAAATACACAATAAATGTTACCAGTTATCGTGTGTGTGTGTGTTCTGGGATGGTCCAGAGCCTCTAACAAGCTAAGCAGGAGTTCACAGGCTAAGCTACATCCTTAGCCCATTGCCTCCGTTTTCTATCTCTCATTTCTTGTTTGTCTGATAGGGTCTTACATAGTCCCAGATGGCTTTCAACTATCTATACAGCCAAGAATACCCTTGAACTTCAGATCCTCCTGCCTCCACCTCCCCCATGTGCTGGCCTGAACTCCCAGCCCTACTGCTTCCTCTTCCCAGGTACTAGAACATTGTGAACCAGCATGCTGGGCTATTTGCTGTCATCATTTTTTAAGCCACAGCACAAACTCAAATGGTGTCAAGGTTGTGACTGGGTCAGAGAACTCAGGTCAGACAGAAGAGATGGAAAACTTTCTCCAGAATAGGGCAGTGGCTTCTTAGGGCCAGTGGGCTGTGGCTGATGACGTTAGGCAAGTGGCTTCCTTCCTTTGGCTTTGGTGTCCTGTCTGTAGAATGGGGAAGTTGGTAACACTACCTCCTGGGGTCACATAGCACCCTATAGCCCACAGGCTCATAAAGTGCCTCCCAGTGTCTGCCTCGAGATACACCTCAGTGGGGGCTGTGCACACTTTGGTGGGTGCTGTTAGTGGCACTTCGATTTACTTGTTTTAGATACAGTCACTGCTGAGCAGGTGTGGTGACACATGTCCACAATCCAAGCATTTGTAAGGCAGATGTAGAAGGACAGCCACAAATCTGAGGTCATCCTCGGCTAGGTAGTAAGCTCCAGGCCTGCCAAAGCTCCAGAGTAAAGTTGTCTCAAAAAAGACACCGAACCAGTCATGGTGACACAACACACACTTTTAATTCCAACACTCAGAAGGCAGAGACAGGCAAACAACTATGAGCTCAAGGCCAGCCTAGGATACAAA